AAAAAAAAAAAAAAAAAAGGAAGAAAAAAAAAAGAACAAACTCTGTGAAGGGAATGAAAAGACAAGTTACAGACTAAGAGAAAGTATTTATCAACTGCATATCCAACACAAGGACTAGTATCTAGAATATATAAAGAAGTCTAAAATCTCAACAGTAAAAGAGCAAACAACCCCATTCAAACATGAGCAAAAGACATGAAGAGTCATGTCACCAAAAATATACAGATGGCAAATAAACCAATGAAAATATGTGTTTGTCAAGTGAAACTACCTCATACCAGATTTTTGTTAAATCCCCAAATCTCTCTGCTGCTTGCAGAGCATACTGCTTTTCAGTGTCAATCAGGGTCTGATTGAAAAGTAACACCTCTCTCCAGAACCATTCAAATATTTGGGTGGAATTCTGGAAAGCCTCTCAGGGTCATCTGAAGAGTTCCCAAGATCCCTCTTAATTTTAAGTACTGTAGGGAGAAGGGGACCTGGGCCTTACTGGACCCAAATTCACTGGGCATCTGTTGGATGGGCAAGAGTGAGACTGGGGCTTGTTTAGGGCAAGAATTTCTAGGAGGGGGCAAGTGAGGAGCTGAAGCTGGGTAAGGAGGTCATGGTGGATCCAGAGGAGCAAGGCTGGAGAGAGGTGACTCTTCTGCTGGGGGTGCCTCTGAGACTCATATCTTTAATTCCCTGGGCTTACCCTCTGTGGCCTTCCCTGAGATGGCCAACAGGAGGGCTGGATCAATTGTTCTCACACTGTGAGCAAAAGTCTGGATTGCCTTGCAAGCTACAGAAAGCCTGAACATATGGAGCCTCAGACCATCTGTCCTCACATCTATAGAAAAATTCCAACTGCTGAATGGTATCAAAATGAATGGTTCCTTTCTGGGGTCAAGCCAGTCCTTCCTGTAAATCATAACTTGGCCAAACCTTCGTGCAGAGGGATAAAAGGGGTCAGATTCTGAGGGTCAAAGTAGTCTCAATGGTTCTGGATATACTCCAGAGGAGTATATGCTGGGGATGATGAAGATAATTTATCGCCCATTCTGAAAGACGGAAGAGAGGTGTCCCTCATTCCCTTCCTTCTTTCAGTGAAAATTCAGGGTATGATGGAGAGAGAAAGAGTGCATTCTCCTTTCACTTTCCATCCATTATCCTTGAGCTGGCCATAGGTACCACTGCAGTATATACCCAGGAAGCAGGGGAAACCTGGAGAATAGGAATTAACCACCCTCACCTATGCCTCCATTTCTCCCTGCTGTCAGCAAACTGAATTCCCTGGGCCTGTTTATGCCATGAAGCATGGCTTCTTTCCGTGGGGTAGGAAGTTTAGTCGGCAGGAATTGGTCCTGCTTTACATTGTGCCTGTTGCCTGGCTTCGGATCCCTCAGACCTGGTTTTCCTTTCTAGGGACTCAGATGAAAGCTTGGAATCGAGGTTGGGACTGAAAAAGTATTTTAGAGGCTGTATCTACTTAGAGTGTCTCAAATGTGCCTGCCAAATGTGCAGTTCTCAGCCAGCAGGGGCCATTCCTGTTAACTTTCTTATCAGAAACAGAACTGGTGGCAGGGAGAGGGGTCAAGGGGGAGGGGGAGTCCTTTCACTTAGAAAAGAGAAAAACAGTCTAAGGAGCAAAAAGGGGAGAGATTCTGGGGGAAGAACCCCTTGCTTAGTGCAACTGGGCCTTTCTAATACTTGTATCTTTCCCTCAGTTCAGACTAGGTTGAATTCCTTGGCCAGGGGAGGAGAGGTTCCATTGGTATGGTGGGCAAGAAACACTTGTCTGTTGACCCTGTGGGGTTGCAACTACTGTCATGGCTTTCTCCCAGCCTGCTAGTGACTGTTGGGCTTGGCCCTTGCCTGCTGCAGTCATGCCCAGGCACCCAAGCTGGGAGGAAAAAGGGTAAGGAGAGGTGCCCTGAGCCGTGCATGCCTGCAGCTGTCAAGTTGGAGGCATACATGGCACCTCTAGGAACAGCTGGTCTGATTTGCACCTTCAGCAGCTGAGCCTAATGCTCATTGTACTTAGTAACATTTCCACAGCTTGTAGCAAAACTCCTAACGTTATAAAGAAAGACATAAGAGTCATTTCAAAGACAGAAAAGAGACAAAGTCTAGGGGTTTTGACTTCCCACTTAGGGTGGAGTTTTTAAAACTCAGAGAAGGAAAACAGAGCATCTCACGTGCAGGAAAAAGAGAGGTGGCAGGGTTTTAGAAGAGAGGCAGACCCAAAAGGCTGGCATTCACCCACACTCACCTTCTGCAATCCTGGACGAGCCCCCAGTTGAAATGGGAAAGATTCCCTTGTTTCCCTCAAAGGGTATGTGATAGGGGTGCTCCACTGCTCAAACCTCTAGGGGGAGCATACCAACGGGCAGGCTGTGGGACTCCAACCCCAGGCAGTGTCTAGGCATGAATGTTTACAGCTGAAGCCCCAATGGGCATGTGTTACAGGGTCTCTCTTAGTTTGCTGTCTAATGGCAGCCTGTGTTAGCCAGCTCAATTAGACCCCCTTCCTTATCACAAGGACGGAGGGATTTCTGTATCCCAGGGTTCCTTGCCTTGGTGTACTGGAAAAATCAGATCACATGTGGGTTTGGAGAATGAATACGAATTTTTATTGAATGGAAGTAGCTCTCCCCAATGGGAGAGCCAGAAGGGTTTTTCCCTGGAATTGGGCCACTTGGCAGCCCCAGCCAACTGTGCTGCCAAACTCTGCCTCATTCCACTGGTCAATGGCCTGCCAGCTTGCCGGCATCTGTTGATACCTGTCAGCCTGCTCTTTCTCCTACATGCTCTCGATAACTAGTTGCTTGTGTCTTCTTCAACCAATGTGTCCCTCATGACATCCAGCCACTTCTGTGTCTGCCACTAGGGTCTCAGGCTTTTAAATACCCAGGATGGGGACATGGCAGGCCAGGGTGGTCTTGGGAAATGCAATATTTGGGCAGGAAATGCCTGTCCTCACCTAGGTCCCTGGAGGTAGAGCCCTAGCCAGGGACCATGCCTTTCTCTACCCAGCACTTCCCTTCCTTCCTGCCATATCATTTAAAGGGACCACACCCTTCCCTTCCTAGCACTCCCATATCAATATTAGACTTTTTTTTTTTTTTTTTTTGAGAAAGAAGTTAACCTCAGACGGTTAACGATAAAAAGTCAAAACTATAAGATATTAGAAGAACATACAGGAGAATATGTTTATCATTTTGAGATAGAAAAGCATTTCTTAATTCTTAAAAATCATTCTGATTATATTGTTTCTATTTTTTTTACTTTTGCATTTAAATGATAATGTCAATAAATATAAAGATTTTTAAGATATATTATTTTGGGGCTCGAATATTAAAAAGATTAGAGTTTAGGTAAAAAACTCACAGTTCCTCCCATTCTTTTTTTCTCTGTTGAATCTTCAGCTGTGCTCTTTCAGCTTTTAATATAAGTTTTCTCGTTTTCTCAATTTGATTTTTCACCATAATTTCACTTAGGGTTTTAGGCCGAAATTTCTTCCCTTTTTCTATTATTGAGTCCTCTTGTTCAATAACACTCTCACCTATACAGAGAATCAACATTTTTTAGTCATTTTCAGACATAAAAATAATACTCGCAAATATCGTTTTTAATCTGCCAGATAAAAAAAAATGCAGAGAATATGTTGAATTTGTAAACCAAAGTATTTATTGAGTACCAGGTGCAATGGCTCACACCTGTAATCCCAGGACTTTGGGAGGCTGAAGCAGGCAGATCACTTGAGGTCAGGAGTTTCAGAGCAGCCTGGGCAATGTGGTGAAACCCCATCTCTACTAAAAATGCAAAAATTAGCCAGCTGTTGTGGTGTGTTCCTGTAATTTCAGCTACTTGAGAGGCTGAGGCAGGAGAATTGCTTGAACCCAGGAGGTGGAGGCTGCAGTAAGCTGAAATCTCACCACTGCACTCCAGCCTCAGAAACAGAGCAAGATTCCATCTCAAAAACAAAAACAAAAAAGTATTTATTGACGAACTACTATGAATTCAACCCCATAATAAGTCCTGTGAAATCCCAAAATAAAAAGATCTAAGTCACATTTTTTGCTTTTAAGAACCTTATTAAAAGTTGGCAAGATAAGGCATATATTAAATAATTAGAGAACAAGATAAATGATGGTGAACCATAAATGATGGTCCTTCCCATCATTTAGCATGTTGGGAAGGAGTGTTTGTGACATGATGGTGGGGAAAAGGAGAAAAATCGAGTAAGTCCAATTTGATACATATGATTTGAGGTGGTACATACCAACTGAAGTGCTCTGCAGCCAACTAAAAGCTCGTCAGAAACACAATCAAATAATTCAAAAATTACTGGCTTTATGGCCAGGCTCGATGGCTCACACCTATAATCCTAGTGTTATACAGGACCTAGCATAGAAAGTTAACACCAAGACAAAAGTATGCCAGATTACAGGGTCTTTATTATGCCGGCGACCACAGAGGACTCACGTCTCTCCAACCTGTGGCATCGAAAGGAGGGTGCCAAGACTTTTTATACCCGAAAAACCACCTTGGGAGTGGGGGTGAGGAGCGGGGATGGGGATGAAAAGGCTTCAGACATTCTGAGGGCTAGTGGATTCTGTAAATTACCTCTTGGGCAAAGACAGGGCTCTGGATATTCCAAGGGCCAGGGGACTTTTGTCATTCCGTTCGTTACTTAAGTGGTTTACAGAAGTCAAGATAAACATTTGTTTACACATTATCTGGGTAAGGTGGAAATCACAGACCTTAGTTACTTATTACAAGTTGCAGGAGCCAAGATGGCGTGGGTTAGGACTGCTTTCCTGTTACATTAGGGCCACAGAGAGCAGTTACTGATAAGCAAAGTTTAAGCAGCTTTACATAGTAGTTATTTCGCAGAGCAAACTAGCAGTTTTATTTACAGAAGCCAAGGCCAGCAGTTATTGTGAGGAGAATGGGGCAGCCACTACAACTTAATTTTGGGAAACAGCTTTGTCTTGTATAAAACGGCATTGCTCAGGTTCTAACTTTAGGCTAGCTATGTTACACTAGCACTCCGGGAGGCTGAGGTGGGCAGATTACCTGAGCTCAGGAGTTTGAGACCAGCCTGGGCAACATGGTGAGACCCCCATCTCTACTAAAAATATGAAAAAATAATTAGCTGGGTGTGGTAGCACGCACCTGTAATCCCAGTTACTCAGGAGGCTGAAGTACCAGAATTGCTTGAACCTGGGAGGCAGAAGTTGCAGTGAGCCAAGGTTGCAACACTTCACTCCAGCCTTGGGGACACAGAGAGACTATGT